TGAAACTCTAAACCCAAAACTGAAATGATCACTCCTCTCTCAATTATTAGTCTTCCTAGTGGAACCTAAAATCAAAACCAATAAGCTTTATGGATGAGTTTTATCGATTAGTCTCGAGAAATTGCAAAGAAAATAAACATTAAAACTCATCCATGAAGGTTACTGGTTTCGAATTTGGGTTCCACCCGTTCAACAAACAATTGAGAGAAGAGTGATGATTTTGTTTTGGGTGCAAAGCTTCAAACTCAGCAACGAGTTTGGGAAAGGAGTGCGAGGGGAGGGAGAAAGTTTAATTGAGGAGAGAAAGGAGTGTGAATTTACAATTTTATCCACGTTCTTTACGGAAATGTTAACAAAAGACCATTTGTAGAAATGAATATAATAATTGGGGACTAAATTAGTAATGTTTGATATGTGGGACTAAATATGTAAAACGATCTATAACTGAGACCTTTTATAGAATTTACTCAATTTTTAATTATAACAAGATATGGGGTTCAGAGTATATATAGATTTAGTTATCAAACTAATTACATACTCCCTCTGTCCCATAAAACATTTCCTGTTTCAAAAAAAGCGCACCCTTAAAATGAGTAATTTTAGTGTTATTTTTTAATTATGACTAATCTATTCTATACATCTCATCCTACTCTTTTATAAATTAAGGGCAAAATTAGAAAATAACACCAAAATTACTCATTTTAACGGCGCGCCTTTTTTGAAACAGGAAATGTTTAATGGGACGGAGGGAGTAACAGTCTAGAACTAATACTCCCCCCGTTCCACAAAACTCTTCCTTTTTTGTTTTTTTACTTTCCACAAAACACTTCCACTTTCTATTCAAAAACCACTTTTACCCCTACTTTTTCATACCCTACCTATCACATCATATTTTTTCACTAATAACCAAACTATCACATCTTACTTTTTTCCATCACATCAGAGACAAAATTGGAAAGTCAACCAAAATTACACTTTCTTTATTTTTCCCCAAATTCAAAACCGGAAGAGTTTTGTAGAAGGGAGTGAGTATAAATTAGTATATATGTTGTCTATCATAGTTGTACTATAGCATTGTTTTGTTTTCTACTTTTGTTCTTTTCATTCGTAGTCTTTGTACTTGTGTTGTTTAGGATATTTGGGAAACTTCTTAAACCTAGAGTTTTATCCAAAAATTATTTTCTACAAAGTACATTAAACATTGATGTATGGCTGAAAGGGTAACGCGTGGTCCAGCTTGTCTCTAATCAATGACCTAACTGCCAATTAGCACTGCTTTAGGTTTTGGTTTGGTGGTGCTAAAAATTAAATCAACAAATCTAGTGTTTGGTTGGATGTAATACAAGAAATACACAAGTCCAGATAGGCCTTGGACTTTGTTTGGGTTATTTAGGTTTGTTTTTTGACTTTGGGTACAGCGTAATAGTCAAAACATCAATATCCATCATGACCAAAACAATACAGCATTAATTAATTAACAATAATATTGCACCATTAAATATAATTTTCACTCGGCAATTTGGCATCTCAATCTAATCTGTACTTTGAACCCACCCCCCAAATGCCTCTTCTCGCCATTTTTGACGGGTTTGATTGATATGGATGGATCAGCTGACCAACACGCCGTCTTGCAAAAGTAATAGGCCTAGATCTAAATAAAAATCTAGGCCATTGAAGTAGTGTTTTATATGGCAATGTGTCAAATTATTATTTTTAATAAGAGTATATTTTATAATTGAGCGTTTAAAATTAAGTTTTTTTCTATTTTTTGTTTCCAATTGTTGGAATTAGGATCATTGTAAAATTACATATTTAGCTTTTAATTTTACATCATCATGAAGTTAAACAAAGAATTATCCCAGGAAAGATATCCATAAAACAAATAACCAAATATTTGGTAATAGATGATTAACTATGAAAAAAGAGTCATTAGCATTAAAAAAAATATTACTCAGGTAAGCCTCCAATGTGATTAGGTGACATTGGTTCCAATTGGGACACCTACAATGTTCGGTTCGTAATTAATGATTCTTATTTTTTTAACCCTATTAAACCCCCCCACCCAGCTTGACCCAACCCCACGTCTCATTCCCTTCAATTGAACCTCCCTCTCAAGTTTAATTGATTTTTAGAATCAATTTTTTTAACCTTAAAGTCAACTAAATTTAGAGAATTCAACTGAAGGCGGTGGGAGGTAGGTTTGGACCGTGCTAGAGTGGGAGGGTTTTATTAGAAGTTAGGAGTGTAGAATCCATCAGTTTTACAAACCGAACATCATAGGTACCTAATTCAGATTAAAACCAATGTCACGGTAACCTTCCCTAAAAACATTAACGGTAAACTTACATTTGATTATTTGAAAAAATGAAATTTGCACTAAATAATACAAAATCATATGTTTGTTTTCAAAGTAGTACATGAAATTTTTTATTTTCTAAATTGTATTTGAACAATATCTAGTAGCAAGAACAATGTTCAGTGACAGTGGACATTTACTTTAATAATGTCCAATTACTTTAATAATGTCCAATGACTGTTGACATTTACTTAAACAATGTTCAGTAGACATTGAATAGTTATACTATATTGGAAAATTATAACATATAGCACTAAATTAGGAAATTCACTATATTTTAGTACTCTGTATTATATAGGTAAATTCTTCTTTGAAAAATTTATCCTTTCGAGCATTCATATTTCATAACAAAAAATAAGTACTCCACTTTGAGATTTAATCATTTTTTTCTTTATAGCTTTTCATATCCAAATTTATGTTCTTTTAAACATAATTGTTCAATTACTCTATATAGACACAAACGGAATAAAAAACTACGACCTTTTAATAAAAAAGTAATGAAAATGAAAGAAAAAATAAAAAAGAAAAAAAGACTAAAGTAGGAGTTAAACATTGAAAATATAGAAATATAAGTTCTATGTTTTAATTTTCAAAATAGAAGTTAAAATACATTTATTTTGTCAATCATGACCATATACATTACAAAAAGGTATTGTGAAATGTCTATAAACAGTGTCACATTATCACAATGCAAGCTCTTATTTTGAGAATAAAAACATGTAGCTCATATTTTGATATTTTCTCTATATTTTTACTTATATTTAGAATGATTTCTTAATAAAAAAACTACCATTTTCTTTTACTCCATATTTTTTCATCTTTATATTCTTCATTTTTTTAAGTCCCAAAAAATCATTTTATATTTGAAAAAAATAATTTATGTCTTTTAAGTTGAGACGGAATGAGTATATGTCAATTTTTTATTTTGTTGATTCCATTTCTAAAAATTGAGGGAGTTTTAGTGTCTCTTTTGTAAATTACGGGGCACTTATGTTATCAGCCCTTTAATCAAAATTGCAACAAATAAACTAATTGGAGCAAATAAAAAAATTCTATAAAAATATAAAAAAATAGAAACCTTAAATTTAAAAAACAAAACAGGTTATGAGTTTTATGTTTTGAATACTTAAATTAACACTATAACTTGTATATTACAGTAAAAAAATAACAAAACGTCAAATTATATATTTAAATTATCAAAAAAAGTTATATTTAATTTTTAAGTAATTTTTATGATATAAAGAGCCATATTTTAACAATAATGTACGGAGTAAATAATTTAAATATGTAAAATTGTTGAAAAAAGTGAAATAACAATAAGATATCATTATAAACTGGTTTAGAAAGAAAAGTTTATATACTAAAAAGGAGTAAGAAGAAAAAATAATAATATTATAGCACTTCTTTTATCATTTATATTCCACATTAAAGCATATATTTTAGAAAAATCTTTACTTTAACGGGCCAATCAACATGTCGGGTTGTAACACCCTCTGCATCATCTGCTTCTGTGTGTGCTTGTGACAGAGAAGTGTTATAGCACACTGTCTGTCATATGTTACTGTGACAGTGCTGCAGTATCTTCTCTACATCATAACTGGTTGATTTGTTTGATTTGAATTTAATCGATTATTTAATTCAACTCAAAAGCTCATATATCTACCTATTATTTTTCTTCTCAATTTTCCGATGTGAGATAATCTTTAACACTTTCTTTCAAGTGACCAATCAGGCCATTTTGAATCTCACAAATTGACACTTGCCAAAACGGACTCACATCCCTTTGATATTTTAGCGCTAAAACCTAAAGAACCACGAGTCATTGGATACTACTTCCACACAGACAACTGGCTAATGACTAGGGCCACTAGGATTAAATGTCTAGATGAATACCTTAACAAATGAGGTGACCTAAAGTTGGCTCAGATGCTATGATAGAATTTAGGATGAGGTAGGGATCACTGGACCGGATCGTAAAATACTTAAGTTGAACTATATTGAAAGATTGAATTCAATCGATTATTTAATTTAACTCGAGAACTTATATATCTATTATTTTCTTCTAGGAGATATTTTTCAACCACTTAGATGATGCTGTTTCGTTTGGTTGTCTTCTCTCTAATCCCGGGGTTCTGTTTTCGTCGGCGGCAAATGGAAGGTAAGTCAAATGGGATTCAAGACCCATTTTGATAGCGGAAGCTCTTACTTGGGAAAACAGCTTGGCTTGGTTGAAGGGTCATGAGCTGCGAGATGTGGAGTTACTCTCATATCGTGAGGCCTTGGTTCGCATTCTCAATTGGGGAAGTAATCCCTCAACAAACGACTTCTACTTGGCAGACATTCTTGACGACTCTTTTGTGTGGAAGGACTATTTTGACAATTTGACTACATCTCCATCACTTACTCATGGAGAGTTAAATGTTGTTGTTCATACGCTTGCTAGATGTGCTATGTCCCTGTCTCCGCCTCTTCATTGTACCTCACATTTGATATCTTATATGAATGAATTTGGTTTTCTAAAAAAAATAACTACAGTGTATGAATGGAAAATAATGGTAACAAATGTTTTGATCGAGCTATGTCTATTGGACTTCATTTGTAAACACTATCCCTGCCTTATTGTCCTTATTCAATTCGTTCCGCTGGAAGCTTCCGGGTGTACTGCCATCGGATCTCCTCCGATTCTCACTGGCTTCGGAGATTCTCCGCCCAGGATAGGGAAAAGTTCAGATCTTCGCAGATCCTTTTATCGCGCTCCTTCCAAATCTGGAAAACGATGATGCCTGGTACAATGGCTTTCAGAGCACCGCACACCAAATCACCGGAGAAGAAACAAAATCCAACACCTATTTCTAATCTGCCCTTTTCCGTATTGCACAAGGTCAGTATATTTGTTTTTTCTTTCGTTATAAAACAGAAATTCACCATATTTATATACTCGGCATATTCATATGTAAATATTTTTACCGCATCAAATTGAGCTTACAAATTTGCTTGTATGAGTTTCTACTAAGTCCAAGATTTGCGAACTACATGTCTACATATGCTGCATATTTCACATTTTATTGTATATACTTTGCATTTATCAGATTTGCATATTTTTTATATGCTCTGCATATTTCATATTTAAGACATCAATTTTATGAATATAGTATGTACACGTGCAATTTATTTTCTTATGAAAACTGCTCCTTGGGTTTTAATTGATGGCTTTTAATTTTTCATTTGGCACCAATTTTGTGGTAATGGCATCTTGTGGGTAAATTTCACTAATGGTACCTGAACTTTAGCTGGAATTTCGAAGTAGTACCTAAACTTAAAATTCTTTCAAAAAAATTCCTCAACTTACACAATTCTTTCACTAATAGTCCATTAGCCCGTTTCCAGGTCAACTTTCGGTCATTTGGGCCAAATTAGAATTTTATATATTTTAAAATTTTCAATTTGATCCCATTTCTTTTATTTTTTTCTTCCGCTCCCCGCCGCCGTCACACCACCTCAAACTTGCTAGAAAATCAACCTTGTCCGATTTCGGCGGGACCAACGCCAGATGAGGATCAAGAATATCCAAACCATTTTTTCCAATTTGGGCTGCAACTCTTCGAATTTGAATTTTTCCACTCAAAAAAACCCTAAAATCCGAAATTGAAGGTTTTTCCAAATCGCCATCAAATCTTTCAAATGTCCAAGATGCCACGAACACATTGGAGGGGATGATCGGCGTCAATTTTGCCAGAGGTGGCCGGAAAACGCCCCGACCCGCCGGAAGGAGGCGGCGTTTTCCGGCCACCTCTGGCAAAATTGACGCCGGTCATCCCCTCCAATGTGTTCGTGGCATCTCGGCGACCTCTAAAGACCCCTCAATTGCAAGATTTGATGACGATTTGGAAAAACCCCTCAATTTTGGATTTTAGGGTTTTTTCGAGTGGAAAAATTCAAATTCGAGGAGTTGCAGGCCAAATTTGAAAAAATGGTTTGGTTATTCTTGATCCTCATCTCAATTCGAAGAGAATGGCGTTGGTCCCGCCGAAATCAGACCAAGTTGATTTTCCGGCAAGTTTGAGGTGGTGTGACGGCGGCGGGGAGCGGAAGAAAAGAATAAAAGAAATGGGGTCAAATTGAAAATTTTAAAATATATAAAATTCTAATTTGGTCCAAATGACCGGAAGTTGACCTAGAAACGGGCTAATGGATTATTAGTGAAAGGATTGTGTAAGTTGAAGGATTTTTTGAAAGGATTTGAAGTTTAGGTACCACTTCGAAATTCCAGCTAAAGTTCAGGTATCATTGGTGAAATTTACCCGGCATCTTGTCTGTTTGTTGAATCTCTTTTTGAATTTTTGCTATCTTCTATTGTTTCAAATTTCTTTTTCTTATGTTGTTATCTTCTATTTTTAGAATCTAGTTTTCAAATGTTGCTAGGAGCGAGCATTTTAACTGAATCAACTGTAAAAATGAAGCTCGAAAATCAAAGTGACTGAGATTTTGGTTTCGGTTTCGTTTAATTGGTTTTGCTTTAATTGGCTAATGGGTTGGTCACTAGTTTTGTGCTTGAATGATTAAAACCGACTGACATTTTGGTTTCGGTATGTTGAATATTGATGGCATATCATTCCATATCCGTGAAGGGGTTTTGAGTGTCAAAACTCAAAAATGTAGATTTTGCTCCAATTACGGGATTCAAATTTGGCAGTGCAACCGACCGTGAAAGAGAATACATCGAGCCCGTGGACATCAGTAAACATTATTCCGGGGCAAAAAAGTTGTGGCACGAAGAAGTGAAAGTGGCATTTGAAGGTCTGAGGAGAAATAGAAACAGAGAAGAGATAGACGCAGTGAAGCTAGGAGTATTTTTTTTACTTGTGGGTACTATGTCACTGAAAATCAGAAATGCACGAGACTTTACCCACTATATTTGCACTTGGTTGTTGACATTGAGCAATTCATTACGTACTCGTGGGGGATGAGGTTTTGGATGACTTGGTAGAGGACGCATCAAAGTGTTCTCTTATAGTAGAAACTAGTACAAAAGACTGTTTCACATTCCTTGGATTTTTATTCACCTCACAGATTTGGGCCTTCGAGACCTTTCCAGCTGGTCAGGAAGAAGTTCCCAAGTTTTTAGGAAGTTGCAGGACAGTGTGGCTACATGGACTACGATGAGCTACACAATGAAGCATGTGGTCGGCGAGAAATAATTTTTGGTAATGTTGAGGTACGATCTCATGTTGTTATTAATCCTATCCTTTCTAGTTTGAGTTGAAGGAAATGATGTCAGCTGATGCAGAGGTTAATGAACCCTTTTACAATCAAATATGCCATGGACCGTTTACTTCCTTTCTAACCTCACCAATGCTTTCTGCAATATTCAGTTTTCTACACATGCTGGTGTACCCCATGCCAAATGCGATTCCTGTAGGGCAAGACCAAAGCATGTAAGGAATCCTCAAATGTACTAATATTGCAGAAAACATTGGTGAGGTTAGACATTGCAGAAACAATCGCGTCGGGCAAGACCGAAACATTGCAGAATCAATCAAGATTAAATCAGTTTTTTTAATTACAATTTGTGCAAAACATAAATAAAGCAAGGGAAAAAAAACTTACCAACCACGCAACCGTGCAGGGGCAGAGCTGTAAAGCCGGCAGATGGAGGCAACCGAGCACCGAAAGGGGCAAGATGGAGAGCGAGGAACGGAGGGGGGGGGGGGTTAGAGGGGATAAGAACCATCAGTTTTGCAAACGAAGCACCGGAGGCGCTCCAAAAACGCACTGGCACCGGAGTGGCACCGTTGGCCAGTGTCAACAAAACCCCATTCATATTTTCAAGTTTTCCTTTCGAATCCTCCTGAAGTAGAAGTTGACCTGGAGGTGAAATGATGGACAACATTCAGTGATCTGTGATCAACACTAAAAGAAGAAGATGCCTGCACTTCTCTCTGTCTTTCTTCATGAATGAGAAGACCATAGGCTTGGATGACTGAAGGTAATGGCTTCATCAAGAGAATGTTTCACCTTATCACATTATAATCTGAGTTCAGCCCCATGAGGAACTGATTGCACAACCCCAAACGTACATTATGGAAGATTGCAAAGTTTATTGAATTCATCCTAGGTGGTCTTGAGTTTTGTGAAATAAGCATCTACATCAGAATGTATATGGTCATGATTGATACTGGAAATGCATTTTAACTCTTATTTCGAGAATAAAAACATGGAATTCCTATTCTGGTATATTTTGAATGTTTTAGTCATATTTTTTATTTTTTTCCTTGAATGAAGTTTGTAAACTGAACCCTCGTTGTGAAGTGTGAAAATTAGTGTAGTCTCTAGATACTACTCCGTAAAATATATTCCATATGTAACTAAAAAGTTTCATGTTTTCAATTTCAATAAAAAAAACACGTTTTCCGAATTTGCTGTCTTAAAAATGGTTTATTCTCAATTACGATAAAGATTGATTTTTTTTTTGCTCTGCATAATTTTATTTATTAGACAATTTTCTTAAACTCCATAAAAACCTACTAAAAAATTTACTCCTTCCATCCAATTTGTCTTTTTCGAATCAAGCGGGACGAACTTGAGTTGTTAATTACTCCGTATTTAAAATTTGTTTTGCAAATTTGGATGAACATGAATCGAATCAAACTGGACAAACATAAATCTAATAAAATTTGGACGAACTTTAGTTGTCAATAAAAATTTGAAAATCTTTACAACATAAATCTAATAAATTATTTTTTATACTAATATACATTACAATTTTTGTTTAATTAATTATTAAAATTTATTTAGTTTCATTCAAAAAAATCAAATTAGATAAATACACTAGGACGGAAGTGTTAATATTTGGCGACGAAAAAAATAACAAGAATTAAAATTGAACACATACGTCAAAGTCAAACTTATAGTATAAGAGGCACGAAATCAACATTAACACCGTGAGTCCATGATGTTGTCAAGTGACACCATTCTATAACATCATGATGTTCTCACTATAATTGGTATTTACGAGTAATCAGTAAGGTCTCGTTTGCTACATGGAATTCAATTCTGGAATTGGAATTGAGCACTTTAATTTCAATTTTGTTGTTTGGTAATACAAAAATTATGTAATTTTGGAATTGATAGTGCAAAAAATAAATTGAAATTAACAGAATTCACTTCTATGGAATTGAATCCCATGAAATTTCAATTTCAATTCAATTTCAATTCCACCAATTCCGTATACCAAACGGACCTTAACATTCCAAAAGTATCCAGAATCCAAAAAAATCAAGATACAAAAGAAGACTACTCCATAATATTGGGTAATTTTTTTCGTAACCCTTAAAGCTATTCTTATTTTATGGATCTTGATATATAAATAATTATCTGTAGTATACTTTGTAAAAGAAAAAAAATCAAATTTTGTGTCGACAAATATGATAGAAGAGTCACATCTCATGTGAGAACCTTATGACCGCAATAGCACAGCTCATTTTATTGATAGAGAAAGATTACACTGATATAAAGACCTGAAGCCTTTGCATTATTCTATAAATAAAATTGATGATTCATACCCAAAAATACTCTAAACCCCAGCCATCCTTGCAAGTTGCACCTGAGGCCTCTAGGTTCCTCTGTTGGTTAAATACCACTCTCAAATAGACTTCTTCCACACACGAATTCAAATGTGATTACACACTTTCAAAGAGCCTCTCAATTTCATGGTGATTGGTATTTTTGTGTAGAATTTCCCAAGCAGGACCCACGCAATATTGTGATATCTTGGGTGGAAAATCTCTCATTCTCTTGTTTATAAAGTAAAAATCATGCTAAAGAGTCAAACAAACACATGGTAACATTTTTCAACTTCAAGTAATTACTCCTTGTCTCATGTCACGTACTCTTTTCATTTTAATTTTTTACGTTTACCTCTTTTTAAAATTTAACCATGAATTATGGTAAAAATATATTTAATTTCAATAGATTCATTTGAACATGTATTTTTGAAATATTATACTTTCATAATCTATGAATATATGCAAATATAAATATAAATAGTCAAAATATTACATTGAAGCTAGTAACAAAACCAAATGAGAGAGTTGGAGATAGGGAGTACATGACTAAAAGACCAACCTAATACCAACAGCCGAAAGGAGTAATGCCTATATATAGCTTCACTTTTATTTTCATTCATTTCATTGTTTTAATCAACCCCACCATATATAACTTGAACTCGAAATGTCTCATCTTGTGCACGCCACTTCTATATACATTACATAACAGAGAATGGGTTTCTTTAGCTCCATTAGCCAGCCCCTCCTCCGCTACCCTTCAGCTCGCCGGAACGATTCCGTCATCGACAATTACCATGGCGTTCTTATTTCCGACCCATACCGATGGTATAGTTTAAACTTTTGATTGATTTAGTGAGTGTTTCTCTATGCTTATAAGTTATATACGGAGTATTAAATTGTTTATAACTTAATTTTTCACTCATAAATTAGCTGATGATGACGTGTTTTTCTATGCATATAAGCTGCTTATAAGTATAAAAAGTAGGTTTAAATTATTTATTTTTATGTCAATTTTTTCATTTCACCGTTTGAACCAAATTATTTACAAATTTATTCCCAAATGACTTGTTTCTGGTGTAAGTATTTTTACTCCATGTAATAAATTTTACTCCGTAATCTTACCAGTAACTAACTGTTTGAGTTTAAACTTTTGATTGAATTAGTTTCATAGCAGATATCCCATTATTACAAGCAGGCTTGAGAATCCCAACTCAGACGAGACGAAGGGATTCGTGGAGAAGCAAGGGGAGCTGACAACCACGTTACTGAGCACCTGGTGCGGCGAGACCAGAGACAAACTGAGGAGAAAGCTGACGCAAATCTTCGATTACCCAAAGTACGGCGTTCCTTTCAAGGCCGGCACGGGCAAGTACTTTTACTTGCACAACACCGGGCTCCAACCCCAGGGTGTCCTTTGCTGCGTTAACGAAGACGGGTTGGGGGATGGAGAAGAAGGGGAGGTTTTGGTAGACCCGAACGAGATGAGCGAAGATGGGAGCGTGGCGCTGAGAATGTGGAGTGTGAGTGAGGATGCTAAGTTCTTGGCTTATGGCCTTACTTCTAAGGGGACTGATTGGGTGACTATAAGAGTCATGGCTGTTGATGATAAGAGGACTTTGGAGCCTGATACTCTCTCCTGGGTATATATATAATAACCTGATTCATTTTCCTTTTTCTTTCTTTTAAGAATTTGTTTTACTTGTTTTTTTTTTCATTTTATGTTTCTACTCCGTATTTTAAATAGCAGGGAGTAAAACTAAAGAAGAGGCTTTGTTTCATTTTACTACAGGTCAAGTTTTCTGGTCTTAGCTGGACAAAAGACTGTAAAAGATTTTTCTACAGCCGATACCCAGATCCTCTTACAGAGTATAATCTTATAGTATTATCTTAACTTGAACAAATTCCACTCTTTCTTGTGAATTGATGCCCCGTGAGTGCAAGAGATATGAGTTATGATATTTTCCGATATCAGATTTTTTTTGTTTGATGAGAAATAAAAAGAATTCAGATTTGATATCTTCATACCCCTTGGTTCCCATGACATTGGGAACCAATGTCATGGAAACCTTCAAATGAAAGGTTTTGAGATCTAATCCTTCAAATGAAGGGTTTTGAGATCTACTCAAGATATCAATTTGGGGTTTGATATCTTCTCAACCGTCGACCACCACCACCACTGGCTACCACCGTTGTCATCGCCAACCACCCCTGTTTATCCTTAGTTTAATCATGATTTCAAATAGTCCCCAAACAACTTCATTTTAGATTTCAAACGCATATCATTTTTTCTAGATTTCAGACAAATGTCATATGATACCTTCAAAACTTATCAAACGGCCCCGGGTGTTTAAATTTGTAACCACTTTTTTTTATAAAAAAAAATTAAATAGTTTTATGATATTTGTATCATTTTACTCTTTTTAGCTTAAATAATCTTTACATACTTGAGTTTCCTTGGAATCATAATAGCTTCAAATGGGTAGGGGTGGAGGAAACAACAATAATGTGGATGGCGTCAATCTAAACCATCAATTGTATTATCATTTCTTGGGCACACACCAATCCGAAGATATCCTATGCTGGAAAGATTCAGACAATCCTAAACATATGGTTTCCGCCTCAGTTACAGAAGATGGGAAGGTATATATTGTGTGCTATTTAGAGATCTAAAGAAACTGTTCTCTTCGTCTAATTTGATTGATTCTGATCAGATTTTATCAAAATCTAGTTCTAATAAGAACAAGTAATACGGAGTAAATAATAAAATTAAGTCGAAGAGAACAGAACCTAAATAACTAAGACTTATCAATCTCCTGCAGTATGTTGTTTTGTATATAATGGAGAATTGCGATCCGGCCAACAAAGTTCATGTGTGTGAGTTGTCTGCTCTTCCAAACGGGCTCGAAGGTTATAGAGGGACAACGGGTGGTCTCCCGTTTACGAAGCTGGTCGACGGTTTTGATGCATCTTATGATTTCGTTGCGAATGACGAAACCATTTTCACCTTCCACACAAACAAGAATGCTCCAAGGTACAAGTTAGTCAGAGTGGATATCAGAGTAGAGCCTAGGGATGCTTGTTGGTCTGATGTTGTCCGTGAGGACGAAAAAGACGTGCTCCAATGTGCAGTGGCTGTGAACCATAACAAACTAGTTGTGAAATATTTAAGAGACGCGAAGAACGTTTTGCAGTTGAGAGATTTGAAAACGGGGGCATTGGAACACAATCTCCCAATAGGAATTGGAAGAGTTTGTGGGATATCAGCGCTTCGCAAGGACAGTTCCGCGTTTATCGGTTTTACCAACTTCCTAATCCCCCAAACCATATATGAGATCAACCTCCAAAATGAGGTCCCAGAGATGAAAACGTTCCGCGAAGTTACTGTCCCAGGATTTGATCCTTCTGGGTTCAATGTAAATCAGGTGTTTGTGCCAAGTAGAGATGATGATAGAGTTAAGATACCCATGTTCATAGTTTCTCCAAAGGGTATCCCCATGGACGGATCGAACCCTTGTTTGCTCTACGGATACGGAGGGTTTAGCACCAGCCTCACGCCGTGTTTCTCTGCAGCGCGACTGGTGTTGGCAAAACATTTAGGGGTTGTCTTCTGCTTTGCGAATATAAGGGGAGGGGGAGAGTACGGTGAGGAGTGGCACAAGGCGGGCGCCCTTGGCAACAAGCAGAATTGCCTGAATGATTTCATTTCTGCAGCTGAGTATTTGGTCCAGGCTGGTTTCACTCAACCAACCAAGTTGTGCATTGAAGGTGAAAGCAATGGTGGACTTGTTATGGCAGCATGTATCAATCAGGTCATTATTATGTTTGTTCTTGTTTTTCATCTCCGTGAATTCAAGAATTTTATAGTTTCATTATACTGGTTTTTGATGAATTCTTAGAGACCTGATCTATTTGGTTGCGCTCTCATCCACGTTGGCGTCATGGACATGCTTAGATTCCACAAGTTCACCATTGGTAATTAAGTTCTTTTTTTGGCTATGGAAGTGTCAATTTGGCTTTCTTTGGTTTTTGTTAATAGCCATAATGTTATCAGAATTCCATTTTGTCTTGAAGGCCATGCATGGACCTCTGAGTTTGGATGTTCGGACAAGGAGGAAGAGTTCCATTGGCTGATCAAGTGAGTTGATAATTTGGATTTCTGAAATCTTTTACAAAGAACTCGGTTTTTAAATAGGGACCGGTCGAACTGGGAAACCGACATGAGATTGATTCAGTCTAAACTCCCAAAAAGCTAGAAGAAAATGAGGACGAAGTAATTTTATCATAATAATAATATGTTTTTTCTCTGGGTTTGATTCAGATATTCGCCGTTGCATAATGTGAAAAGACCTTGGGAACAAACTCCATGTCTAGCGTCACAATACCCATCGACCATGTTATTGAGCGCCGATCACGATGATCGCGTTGTGCCCTCACACACGTTGAAGTTCCTAGCGGTAATAACATAAACTAAAGGATATTAGTACTCTGCATTATTTACTACTCCCTTCGTTTTGTATCGAATCTTTACGATCCCCAATAATGCGTGTAGACATTGCAACATGTGTTATGCATGAGGAGAACTGATGCGAAGAGTGCGGTGCCGATGCAAAGAAACCCCATTGTGGGCCGCATTGAGCGAAACGCAGGCCATGGGTGTGGGTGTTCGACACAAAAAATGGTAAAAAATAAAAAACCTTAAGACATGTAGCTTATTCATTTCTCAAGTTCATCCCTCTTCAGTTCGGCCATTTGTATTGGTAAGCTAATTAAAGGTAACTTTGGTTATGGTAACAGATTGAAATGGCTGCAGACAGGTATGCATTCATGGCTAGAGCTCTGCATGCGGACTGGAGAGAGTAGATAGATACCAGAGGGGACCAGGCCATATAAGTGATCCTCAATTGCTAGAAATCCATTTACTTTCTCTTTCTGTCCATTTAATTTTTGGGGAAGAAATTGATTGGGTTGGGGCGGGGCCGAGGTGAGGTGGTTTAGCGAGTGCATCAGAAGAAATGAAACATCAATTTCATGAACAGAACACCGTAGCTATCCAGAATCGCAATAATAATGTAGTGTGCACCGGGGCCGGTGTGAAGAGAACATGCCCTTGAATTTTTAATCTTTTTCAAAAGTTAAGGTCATATTTTAGCCACGTATTTTGGGAGGGGAAATGCCAGAATAATGTTAAGCTAAATTTGGCGATGAAGGTGTCTGGTTTGGTGATAGAAAGAAAGCTTATGAATTTGATTGACTATGAAAGCCCTTCTGGATTTAGAATCTTCTAAATCGTCTTCATTGGTGCATGAACCTTCTGCTCTCATTATTTGAGATTCACCAAGATTTTTTTTTTCTTTTTTTAAAGACTAACTCCACCATTTTAGAATATTCATTTACTATAATTTTTTCGCTTTAAAATAGAAAAATTTTAATCATCAATTATATATACTATATTGACATAGTATACAGAGTAATGAAATAAGTTTTTACTAATTTTACGAAAGATTAATCTAATGACATGCTTTGTTCACCAATATCAAATACAAATTTTATCTAAAGGTGATAAACCGTTATCCATATGTTATCTTTCTGTTTTTTCGGATATCCCAGAATTTATTCATATTTCTTTTTAAAGTAAAAAAAAGTTTCATATGTAGTTTATATCATTTCTCTTTCTTCTACACAAACACAATTACACATTAACTTTATTAAAAACTGCAACGAGTCAAATATATCAAACACGAAAGATTATAATGAGACGGGAAGGAGTATGTAACCTGTAAATGCAAATATAATGTAGATGAGGGCTCTAGGTATATAGAACAAATAAATGTGTATTTTTCTATAATTTTTTTTATCAAGATTTCAATTTTATCCACATATAAGAAATGTTACTATCAACAAAATAAAATACTCCCTCCCTCCATAAATTAAAATTTCCGTTACGAGTTATGATATTTGATCGAAGTTATTTTCAAATCATTTTATATGAAAAATGGTATGAAATTAAAAATTAAAATTACATATTTAAAAAGCTATATGAAAAGATCTACAAAACCAAAGGTGACATGCATATATTATTTTATCAAATCAGACATGAAAATAGACCAACAAAGTAAATAATGTTTAATCCCGTAAATAGTTAACGAGAATTTTATTATTGTACAGAGGAAGTAATTTTTAGCAAATTAATGAATATTGTGCAATTCGTAAATATACATAAATCAATTTCATAATGTATATGCTCTAAAGTAGGGAGCATTTGCAAAGATGTACACTAAAGATGTACAGAGTATATCTGAATGTACAACATTGTATCTCCTTTTTAAAATTACTCTTTTTAAGCTCAAGCATTTTGGATAATTTTTAAACAGTAGCCAAATAAAAGTGAAATTGATTCACAGAAAATGGTTAGAAACTTAGAATTGCTCTGTTTGGGAACCGAATCAATTCAAATGACGGGTAAACGATGCCCAAAAAAAAAAGAACCAAATCTGGTCCTAGAAGTTCAAACGGAAAAACCAAGGAAGAACAAAAGCCAAAACCAGGCATCCCATCAGGAAGTTGCAGAACGGCTGCCGTTCCCGGCAATCTCCGGGCCTCTCGCCGGAAGATCTTCCGCCGCTCCACTCCTCCATGAAACTTCCGCTCCCGACACGAGTAACATTTTTCGCAATCTCCCCGCATATCTCGCAAAATCTGCAAGATTAGTCATTGTCAGGGTGATGAGAGTGTTCCTAGATTAATTTTGAAAAATGTTAAATCTAAAAGTTATGTTGAATCATACCGGTTTCCCCGGAGCAGAAACCAGGCCTCCGCACACCGGAGATGGGAGAAACGGAGATCTCCCTTACAGCCGCAGCCAAGCTCGATCAAATCTCTGAGATTCTTCTGGTTCGAATCGTCTCTTTCGCTCAATTGGCATATTCTGCAGCACGCCGTTCGGGTTTCTTCGTCTCCGCCGCGGTCCACGTCAATTACAGAGCACGAAAATCTGTCTTCTTCCGGCGCCTTCGCCGCCACTTCTCCGGCCACAGAATTCTCGCTGCCGTTTCCTTCTAATCGCATCGCAATTATTGTCTCCGCAGCTCCAGAACTCATTTTCCGATCCGCTTCCATCCGAACTCAATTCAGATCTGTAAATTCCAGATTAGTTACCCTCGCTCAGATCGTCTCGCTCGGTCTCTCTCTCTCTCTATGAATCTTTGGCTTAAGGAAACAGTCGCCGTTATATAAATGAGCTTAACATTATATTAAAGACGCCAAAACCTTTGGTGGAAACGTTGATGGAGCCATGGCCAATCCTCCCCATCGCCGCCGCACATACCTTACATATATATGGCGTAGAGAGACGTGATTTTCGTTTGTGACGGCCCACATGATATAGCACATTCACACTCGCTCCAAATGACTAGTCCTCATTTGCTTAAACCAGTTCATTTGAGTATGTACGGTGCTCCGTTTGTAAAAATGATAGTTTCTGCCCCTTAATCCTCCTCCAAAACCCCCCAGCTTCCTCCCTATACTGCCAGAGGGTAGGGAGGAGGTTGGGGTGTGGGGTTTTTGGGGAGGGTTAGGGGGAGTAGGAACCGTCATTTTTACTAACGGGGCACCGTAGGTATCCCAAACGAACTGATGTAAGCAACTTGTGTCATTTTAGACGCCTACCAATATATATATATATATATATATATATATATATATATATATATATATATATATATATATATATATATATATATATATATATATATATATATATATATATATATATATATATATATATAT